CGTGAAGTAAGATCCACAAGAACTGTTAGACCTAAATATAAAACATAACTATGGAGGAAAAATAATTGATTTCTATGAATATAAATGGATTGAACTCTGCTATTAAAAGAAGAAAAATCTTTCATAAATTAGAGAAGTTAAAATTTGATATAATTTGCCTACAAGAAGTACATATTAAAAAACAATATCAACGATTATTGGTAAGACCAAAACTGGGGAAAATTTTTACTTCCTTGACTAACTGTAAGAAAAGAGGAGTGGTCCTGTATATTAAAGAAAATATTATAGCAAAATTGGTTTATACTGATGAAGATGGAAGAGTATTAATGGTTGAAATCGTGGATAACAACATAAAAATATTACTCCGAACGATAAACAAGAAGAATTTTATAAAAAGCTACATATGAAATTAATTGGACTGGACCATGGCAATATAATTATGATGGGAGATCTTAATGGAATTGTAGATAATAAATTGGACTATACAGCGACAGCATTAAAACAAAATAGAAAGACTCTCCCTAAATCCTTTTTTAAAATGGTAGATGAATTAAATTTAAAAGATATATGGAGAGAAAGAAATGGTAAAACGCAGCAATATACTTTTTATTCAAATAGACACTTATCATGGTCCAGAATAGATATGATTTGGACCTCATCAGAACTAATATCTAACATTCAAGAAACAAATATAGAAACGGGTATATGGGCTGACCATAACCCTATGACAATTAAATGGAAAGGACAAAGAAGAAGATCTAGATGGACATTAAATAATGCTATCTTAAAGGAAAAAGACTTTATACAATGGATGGACAAAGAATTGGCCTTCTTTTTCATTGAAAATAAAAAAGAAGATACTTCAATGCAGAATGTTTGGGATACAATGAAGGCATATGCGAGAGGATTAATAATGGACTATACAAAGAAAAAGAATATTAGGAAGAGGCAAACTATTAAAGCTTTAGAAGATGATTATAAAAAACTGGAAAAAGAATTGCAGAATATGCCACAGAAAAAAGATATTAAATTCAAAATGGATATAATTAAACATAAGATGGGTCAGGTGGAGAAAGAGGAGTTGGCACAAAAAATTAGAAGTGCTAAACAGAACTATTTTGAAGATGCAAATAAACCAGGTAGATGGCTAGCATACAAATTGAGAAAGAAGAAAGAATCTAGGAGAATAGTACAGTTAATAGATGATCAAGGTCAAATATGTTATGGTAATAAGGACAAAAAGATAATTATCCAAGACTTTTATGGACAATTATATAAACAGGAGGATTTTGATGAGGAAAGAATTAAGCTTTATCTACAAAATGCTAACCTACCCAAGATATCTGAAGAGACTGAAAAAATGTTAGAAAGTACCATAACAATGATGGAACTAACGGAAGCATTTAATAGGCAGAATAATGGAAAAGCACCAGGCCCAGATGGGCTCCCGGCAGAATTTTATAAAACATTACAAGAATCGTTGAGCATTCCATTGTTAGAAGTTATGAATGAAGCCATGTTAAATAAGAAAATACCTAAAACATGGTCAGAAGCTTATATTACACTTATTCCAAAAGAAGGGACTGATCTATCACAAATTAAGAACTATAGACCTATTTCTTTATTGAATGCAGATTACAAAATCTTTGCTTCCATCTTGGCAGAAAGGCTCAAAAGATATCTAAATAACTTTATTCATCCTGACCAGAATGGATTCCTGCCAAGGAGACAAATTAGGGATAATATGAGGGTAATTTTGGACACTTTGGAATATTACGAGGCACACCCTGAAAGACAAATGGCTTTGGTATTTTTAGATGCCCAAAAAGCATTTGATAATGTGAATTGGAGATTCATGTTTTTGTTATTGGAACAGATGGGCTTTGCTAAAAAATTTATTCAAGCAATAGAAGCCATATATGATAAACAAACGGCAAGAGTGATGATAGAGGGAGATTTTACAGATTCTATTAATATAAGAAAAGGCACAAGACAAGGTTGTCCATTATCACCGTTGTTATTTGTATTGACTTTGGAAGTGCTGACTAGAAACATTAGAGAGGATCCAAATATAAAAGGAATGAAAATTAAGAAGGAGGAATTTAAATTGCAAGCCTTTGCGGATGACTTGATTTTTATTTTGGAAGATCCTCTAGGAATAGCTTTAAAGCTACTGGAAAAGATAGAGATTTATGGTGAGATGGCCGGCTTGAAAATAAACAAAGATAAAACAAAGATCTTGACAAAGAATATGTTATTAAAACAAAGAGATGAATTGGCAGATTTATTGAAAATACAAGTTATGAATAAGGTTAAATATCTGGGGATATATTTGACGTCAAGATGTACTACATTGAAAGAGAATAACTATGTTAAACTTAAACAACAGATAGCATTTGATTTGAAAAAATGGGAAAATCTACAACTGTCATTGATAGGTAGAATCTCAACAATCAAGATGAATATTTTACCCAGAATTTTATATTTATTCCAAACCATACCAATTAGGCTTGGTAAAGAGTACTTTGAAGATTTAAATAAAATTGTGTTGAAGTTTATATGGCAAGGTAAGAAAGCCAGAATAAAATTAAAACTTCTGCAAGATGCTAGAATTAGAGGAGGTTTTGGCCTTCCGAATTGGGAGTTGTATTACCAAGCGGCAAATTTAATGTGGGTTAAGGATTGGATAACATTAAAAAAGACTAGATTGTTGACACTAGAGGGGCATGATTTATTACTGGGATGGCATGCTTTTTTGTGGTATAAGGGAACTAAATCGCAGGGCTATTTTAGAAGGCATTACATAAGGGAGTCTTTATGGTTGAATTGGGAGAAAATTAAGAGAAAATGTTATTTGAAAATCCCAGTCTGGTTATCAACTATTGAAGCCTTTTCTTATCCTATAATATATGAGAAAGAACAAACAGTTAGATATGGGGAAATATTGGATGAAAAGAGTGAACTTAAAACAATGCAAAAACTAGAAGAACAAGGCATAAAGATGAATTGGTTTTCATATGCGCAAATACATTCAAGGTATCTTATAGATTCTAAAGCGGAGGGATTTTATGATAAATTGACTGATTTAGACAGGATCTTGACAGGTACTGATGAAAAAATGATTAAAAAATTATACACTTATTTGTTGGAAATTTTATTAGAGGAGGAACAAGTTAAAGAAACGATGATTGTTTGGGGGAAGAATTTTGGATATGGGATTGATTTGGAGAAATGGGAAAAATTGTGGTCTCAAAATTATAAAATGACAATGTCAACAGCTTATAAAGAAAACTTGTATAAGATGTTTTACAGGTGGCATTTTCCCCCGACAAGAATTGCAAGAATGTTTAAGAATAAATCTGAAAAATGTTGGAAATGTCATCAGATACCTGGCTCATACTACCATATGTGGTGGACTTGTGAGAACGCTAGAAAATATTGGACTAAAATCCGCATATGGTTGGAAAAAATGATAAAGACACATATAGACTTGAAACCAGAGATTTTTTTATTGGGAATCTTACCTGATATATATAATAAAAATTTGAAGTATTTGATTGTAAATGTATTGACAGCGGCTAGGATTGTATTTGCTAAGAACTGGAAGAGTGAGAAAACTCCATCAGAAGAAGAAATTATTAAGAAAATATTGGACTGTGCTGAAATGAGTAAATTGACATTTGAAATCAGAGAACAAGAAGATAAACAATTTTATGAAGTTTGGGATCTTTTTTATCAATGGTTAGATAATAAAACATAATGATAGAATATTTGATTTAGCATAAAAAAAATTTTTTTTCTTTTTGATATTATCTTTATAAAACATTATCAAGGTTGATTTGGTATGATCTTATGATTTATTGTAAAATAAATTAAGCAAATTATAGTTATCTCGTTAAAATATGAATTAACAAAATTATAAATGATTTTTTTTTAGTGATGATATTAGGTTATACAATTATTGATTGATAATATGAGCTATTATGTAATATAATTATACTAGTGACTGGGAAATGGATGCACAAAAAAAAGTGGTAAACTAATCGATGCACGGTATGTAAACTTATGAAGAAGGATATTTTTATGTTTTTTGTGTTATGTTTATGTTAATATTGTTATGTATGCTTGTTATTAAAAAATAAAAAAAAATTATTCAAAAAAAAAAAGGGTTAACGGAGAGGCAGTTTCTGTAAGTAACACCAGAATGTTTCCTTCCTGCCTTCCTTACAGGATTAGGCCAGTAATTTCTTCTAACAACCAGTTCTCTGAACTGCTTAGAATGTTAACAACCGGTTCTAGCAAATAGGTGCGAACCTGTAGAATCCCACCCCTGATATCATCTTAATTCAAAATTAGCAAATTTTGCCATCTGGTCAGTTATCCTCAGAAAACTCTGTTTGGAATGGCAACATACAAGTAATTCGCATAACAACAAGGGGTATGATATGAAGCATGGCATGAATGTTCCATGAAGAGATTTAATATAAATTGGCCATGTGAATTTTTTTTATCCTGAGCTTTTATTAACAAGAACTGCATAGTTGGGTACACATAACACATCCAATAAACTGCAATTGGAGTTCATACATACCGTTCCAAGTATGTATATACAAGCACCATTTTCTCCATTCCCACCCCCCCAAAAAATATTATCCTTCTCAAGTGTCGTGTAACATTTTTATTACTTGTGTTTTACAATTCTGAATGTCGTAGTACATCTTCCAGAATCTATTACTAACAAAGAACTAGGGACATTCAAATTGAGAATGTTCTTGTTGCAAGCAAGCAATTCTGAGACTGTCTGGATGCCAAGTAAACATTTCCCCAGGAAAGGGAAAACAAGTGAAAAACCACCTGCTTGTTTCTAGTTTCTCCTGTGAAGTGGGCTTCTTGCCAAGTAGTCATTAGAGTAATTAAGGAGGAAAACAATCTAATATATTCATTATGTAAATGAATGACGAAGATTAAAAGGCAATGAGAGAGGAACTAAATATAAATACCTCTGTTTCTTGCAGCATCCCATGGCCTAAGCAGACCATGTCTGGACAAGTGATGGGAGAACCACACCCTTCACGGATGGCCAATTGTATGTATTGCTTTAGACACTAAGGAAGAAGAAATACATATGTTATAAATCATATGTAAATTATAATATGTAAGTATTATATTCCAATGGATGGAAACTAATCAAGGAAAGAAGCATCCTAGAACTGAGAAGAAATTTCTTAACGAAGAGAACAATCAACCAATGGAATGACTTGCTTTCGGAAGTTGTAGGTGCCCCACCATTGCGGGCTGTCAAAAAGAGACTGGACAGCCACCTGTCTGAAATCATATAGCCTCTCCTGCTTGTGCAGGGAGTTGGACTAGATGACCTCCAAGACCCTTCCAACTTCTGTTATTCTATGTCCTATGTTATAAACCATAAAATGGCATAAGGCACCTCCACCAGCTGTTGGAACTAACTCACCTCTTTCAGCACCATTGTAAACTTGAACTGTCGTTAATCAAATAGTCATAAGTCAGGGACTCTCTCTCTCTAGGTTACTATGGGAGGATTGTAGACTTTTTGATAAATAGGACAAAGAGCTAGATTTTAGAGGAGTAGACTTTAGACTTTGTATCTATTGGTTGCCATGTAATGGTTATACAAATTCATACAGTCAAGCTATAGCTCGTAAGTAATGTATAGCTGATGAACTAGAATATCAGAAAGTGACTATGTTGTTGAGATTGGGTGGGAGCTTTTGACTACCCTAATAACATTAGATGAGCAGAGGAAATGAGACCCAGGACTTCTCTGGGAAGCATCCACTGAAAAGGCAATGCTCCCTACCCAAGAGACAAACCATTTCAGTTATACTTGCAATTCAATTACATGTATTAATCTAGGCACATTAGTTAGTTTAGTTAGTTTAGTTAGTTTAGTTAGTTAGTTAGTTAGTTAGTTAGTTAGTTAGTTAGTTAGTTAGAGCTTTGCATAGTCTAGATCAGGGCTCTCAAAGTTGGCAACTTTAAGACTTACAGACTTCAACACCCACAATTCCCCAGCCAGCTACTATAGTTCACCTATTGCTGGGCCTGCTCGGTGGAACGTGACCCTGGAGATTCAGGTGGTCTGGGGCAAGATGTATTTTCCTAGTTTTCATCTCTGGTCTTTTTCTTTTAATGGGGTGGATATAATTTGCATGAAATGATGCATGGATATACTTAGCAGTATAAGAACATTATTTAGTAATAACTCTGAAGCAAACAAATGAAGTTAAAGATGAAGATCTACACGGGGGTTCTCAGTCTTGGCAACTTTAAGACGTGTGGACTTCAACTCCCAGAATTCCCCACCCAGCATTAATCCTGGTGAAATTGCCAAGATTGGGATGACTGGTCTATAACCTTGATTTAAAAAAAATCTCATCTTTTATTTACCGTTTCGATAATTTCACTTTAAAAAATCATTCACATACATTAATGCTAATTTGTTAATATATTCATGTCAAGGAAGTGCCATCTTTGCAATTTTCAATTAAAGTTAGATAAGTTCACTGAATAAGGGTTCTGAATTCCCATAAGTAAATAAACTGAATTCTATTCTTTTAAGCTTTTATGATGAGCATTTAAACATTCTCTTGCAATATATGGTAATTATGACTGTCAGACAGGGGTGGAATTCTACCAGTTCGCACCTGTTCACTAAGCAGTTTGGAGAAATGGTTGTTAGAAGAAATTATTGGTCTAATCCTGTAAGGAAGGCAAGAAGGAAACATTCTGGTGTTGCTTACAGAAACTGCCTCTCCATTAATCTTTATTATATTTTTGGCAGGACTAGACTTCCTGTCTCAGGAACGTCTCTGGATTTTTTTTCCCTCTCCTTTGCTCGTACTTTGCTTGTATGGAGTGACCATTTAAAGTTACAATGACACTGAAAAAAGTGACATGACCATTTTTCACACTTAAGACTGTTGTAGCATCTCCACAGTCATGAGAGGCCAGGTGAGGAGATGTGTGCCTCAATGTGAGTGATATTGAGTTGGCCACACCCAGCCAATAACATGAGCACCAAGCCACGTGCACCCAGTCACATGACCACCAAGCCATGCCCACCAACTAAGCCACGCCCACAGAACCGGTTGTTAAAAAAATTGAATCCCACCCCTGCTGTCAGAGATATAAATGTAGGTTGAGGTTTAAGATGAGCTGGAAACATGAGCTGGGAAATTGCTATCCCACAAATCCATCTCTATTTTGTGGAAACTACACCTAATCCAAAGTATTAAATACACATTCAATGTTAAGTATTTTGTATTACATAAAGCCCTGCAATAGATGGTATTATGAAATGTTATTTACTTGTTTTGTCATATTTAAGAGCGGCCAATCTCCCTCACGTAAAGTGCTCTGCTCTTATAACCTCACTATAAACTGCTTCATCAAGTATCACAAAAGCTATCATTTTAAAGACTTACATTATGTTCTCCCACAGAAGTGCTACTGCAAACTAGGATTTTAATCTTCTGGAGTAAAAGGTACATCTCAAGGACTGCCCACATTTCCAGAATTTCACAGGAAATTTAAGTGGCATCTCTAGCACAAAGTATGTTTTTCAGCCAAATACTAAATAATCAGTGTCTCTTGGCAGCCCATCCTGATCAGAAATAGTCTAGGTAAGAGAGAGGCAGCTGTTGTGCGCAAGAGGGCTCTTCAAAAACAAATCAGGGTTGCCAGGGATTTGGTGGCTTGTTGCCTATTCACAAAATGGCCATTACAATAGAAGTGGCCCATCAGAAAACATCCACTAACCAGAAGGTAATCTGGTGAAGTTTCTCTTTGACGCCCTCCCTATCTGAGTGAAGGAATGTGAGAGAAAGGAGAAGTGATGTTTAATTCAGGCTAATTCAATTTAGGCAGTAACTCACCCTTATTCCTTTTGTGTCCAATCACACTTGGCCAATAAACAATTATATTCTGTTCTGTTCTATATAGGAAACTAGGAATTGCATTGCAGACAAAGGTCTAACGTATGAAGGAAGGTTCTGCTCTGTTCCTCACATAGGAGTTCTCTGTCTTTCCCTCTGCCTAGTGTCCCATGGTCATTCCACATAGTTTTGAGTTGGCTTCACCCTTTCCATGTTGGTCTGTTCAATATTTACCTGTGCTTTCCCCACCCCTCACCTCTCCCCGGGAGAGTTCTGGGTGCCTTGTCCATGTTTATAAAGAAACTGACATCTGTGGGACAAGTGAAGAGAGAAGCACAAATAATTTGCAGCTGATGACGACAAGGAAAGATTTAAGTGTACCACTTGCTGCCAAGCGTCTGCTCAAAATGTTCATTTCCAAAACCTTTAGGGATTTATTTGCACTCAGTATGTAGCTCAACCCATCAGGCGATGGAGGTTCAGATCTCATGGTGCTAACTAATGGCTTAAGAAGGCATTTTGTACTTCCTTTCACCTCAAATCCATCAAGGCCACTTTTAGATAATCTTCCTCGGCATTCACAAACAAAGGGCCAGCTTGTTCAGGTTGCCATTTCCACCCTTGATTATCCCTGTGATTCAACACTTTAAACGGCTTCCAGCTGATTTATTTCAATTCTTACACATTTTCAGAACGCAAATGGAAAAAAGGACAAAAATGCTATAGCAATATAACAAATGTTAGTATGGAAGATAAAGGAAGCTTATACAAAACATAGGACTATATGCCTGTATAAACAAACATACTTGGTTTATTTGGGGCAAGAGGCTACCCATGTAATCAGGTGAGGGTCATACATATCATCCTCAGCTTACAACCATTCATTTAGTGACCATTTGGAGTTACAACAGCACTGAAAAAGTGACTTACGACTGTTTTTCAAATTTACAACCACCACAGTGCCCCAGGGTCATGTGATCAAAATTCAGTTACTTGGCAACTGGTTCATATTTATGACAGCTCTTTTCCTCCCATGATCATGTGATCACCTTCTGTGATCCACTGACAAGCAAATCAACGGGGACACCAGATTCACTTAACAACCATGTCACTAACTTAACAAGTACAGTGATTTGCTTAACAGCGGTGGCAAGAAAGGTCATAAAAATGGGGCAAAATTCATTTAACAACTATCTCTCATTCAAAGGCTCAATTGTGGTTTCAAGTCGAGGACTACCTGTACAACTTTTCCAGACTTCATTACAAAACAGTCCTTTTACTTTTTACTTGGTGGAGATACAAGGTGATTTTTACTAATTTTAATAGTACTGTGCCAATCTCCTAAATGTATACAAACCTTAAATTTCATTGCATAGCTATTATGTTCATTTAGAACTGTTATTTCTTTTATAAGTAAAGTATAGAGTTGTTAATTAAGTCAACTAACAAATAAGTGAGCTTCTGATTTGCTTGCTAGATCTTTGATATCATTTATGAAATATATCACACCATTGGACAAAATAACAGTCTGACTCCACTAAGAAGATGAAAATATTCCCTAAGATAGTGACATTTTACTCACAATTTTAGATTTTTAAAAAGATAACCAGGAGATAATCTTTCTTTCTTGGACTATTTTCTCTGCAGTGAAATCTAGTCTCTAATTCTATTTAAGCATTCGCATATACACCAGATCACTTTATTATCTTATTTAAGATTTTATTAAAATTATTTAAAATTCTGTGGATGATCATTACCAACCAAACATTAATGCTTATGTTTCTCTGTCTGCCAAATACCTTGTTTGTACTTGGGGTTTTTGTCATATTGTTTTAAAAAGGGAAATATTTTTGCTACGATCTTTCGTATTTGCAAGATAGCCTTTTTTCTTTGGAAAACTTTTATCCAACATTTCTGGGTTTGCTCAAGAAAATGCAAAAGTTTGCAAACCCCCCTCGAAAGCCAGGTAAAATAACCAAAAAAAAAATTGACAATACTCTGTGAATTTTCCTCCTCCACTTCAACAGAAGAGCCACTGCACAGGTGCCGGAGAGTTTTAATTGTAACTTAACCACCATGTTACTCATTCATCAACTGCAGCGATTCACTTAACAGCTGTGGCAAAAAAAAAGTTGAAAAATGGGCCAAACTCACTTAACAAGCATCTCGCTTAACAATAGAAACATTGAGCTCAATTGTGGTTATAAGTCGAGGACTACTTGTACTTCATTTCACCATATGATATATTAAACTTAAAACATTTTAATAAAAACTCACATATAAGTCAGACCTTCTGGCTATGGTGCTTACTCCTAGATAAATTCATAGGAAAGCAGCCTTAATTTGTCAACTGCTCCAAACTAGAAAAGTCCCATTTATTTTTCTGGATGTATATATCCACTAATTCGACCTCACAGCTCCTCTGCTATATTTTCCACTGCAATTATTTTGCATCTTTCTCCAATCTGTCTTGGCACGCTGCCTTTGAGCTATTTTTGCCAAGAAGCTGCATCCAAATGATCACAACCACCAATCCCACTTGGGTTTCAGCAATCATGCTATTTGCTCTTGATACAGCTATAGTGATAAAACATCAGGATCTCTTATTCTAGTGTGAAACAGAAGTAACACAATTTAATGATCTAGCTAAATTTGAAAAATGTTTTGCTGTTTTATTTTTAAATAAAATACTATACATGCAGAGATCTGGAGCCTAACCACTGTAACAGGTACACTTGCCATTGGCATTAGAATCAGTGGTGGGATTCAAAACTTTTTACTACCGGTTCTGTGGGTGTGGCTTGGTGGGCGTGGTGTGGCTTGGTGGGCGTGGCTTGGTGGGCGTGGCAGGGGGAGGATACTATAAAAATCTCCATTCCACCCCACTCCAGGGGAAGAATACTGTAAAATCCCCATCTCTCCCCACCCCACTAACCTGCTTTCCAGCTCTGTTCTCCCGTGCATGGCAACAAAAGATGGCCCAGCCAATCAGCTGGGACTCAGGAGACAGAGAATAGATGGAGGAAGGGCCAGTCAGAGGTGGTATTCCAAACTACTCAAAATTTCCAATACCGGTTCTGCAGAACTGGTCAGAACCTGCTGAATACCACCTCTGATTAGGATCCTGATAACTCTATCAAGGGAGTTGCCAATATACAGCTTTAAAATGGTTCTCAGCATGGTTCCCATAATATATCACCTTTTAAAGCATGCTCATGTACTGCATGTTAAACAGTAATTAGTGTGTGATGTACGCAATCCATTACATGTGGTCTGCTATTGTGCCGAGTTGCATGTTTCCTGGCTCTGTCAACAATTTTAGGAATAAAACACAAAAAAATTAACGTATCTATCAAATCAAATCCATCTTCTTCTGATGTCATGGATATTACCAAGTCATTTTCTTAAGAACAATAGATAAATGTTTGTTCTGGTCATTTTCCAGTATGTTTTTTTTTTCAATTTCCCAGTTCTGGCTGCTCTCCCATCCATGTGCTAACCAAGTCTCTGAACCTGCTTAGCTTTCTGAGATCAACTGTCAGTTGTCTGGCCCTACAGAAATTGAAGTGTTTCAAAAAGTGTTTGCTGTTAGATGAGAAGCGAATACAAGCATTTTAAATGACAGAGCTTAGTTCAAAGGGATCAAATAAGAATAGAGCGAAATGTATGTCTAACCGTAATGGGTCTCTCATAATACCATTTCTAGAGGCACACAAGCACATTCCACATAAATCCATTCATCCTTAGTTCACATTCTTCTTCTCTGCATAGGTCTCAAGAATAGGGCATTGAGAAACAGGATAAACAACTGAAACCCTGTGTTGCTGCATAGCTCTATTTCTGCAAAAGAATTTAACCTAAAACAAAGAAAGGAAGTAACAGATGAGTTTACCTTCCAGTTCTCAAGAGACATATTCAGAACAGAAACTGGATACAAACCCGCACTCTACTATACAGTATACAAGATAAAATAGGTTGATAATGTTAAGTTAACCTTTTGTGGAGGTCACATTCTCCCATGTACCGCTAGTTAAATGCAGCTGATCACACTAGACCAGGGAAATGGCAAAAGTCTCTTATTTTTATTAAAGAGAAATTTGTATTGTTTTAATTTAAAACATTATAATAGAACTAGTCTTAGTGTCATACCAATGCAGAATTTATAAAATTCTCCATAGATGGTTAATATCTCTGATTTATAGCAAATAAAATGTAAATTTATGTTCGTCTCCAAGCCACCCCAAAGCATAGCACTGAAAATTCAAATAACTAACTTTATCCCTGCTGAAGAACAGTTCTTTTGAATCAGACCAAAAGCCTGTTTAATTAAGATGCACAGAAGCCAGCCAGCTAACTATCCAAAGGCCATAAATCAGATATGAGGACAATGATTCTCCATATGCTGCCTGTAATTCAGAAGGTAGTCGTGTAATCAAAATTCAGATGCTTGGCAACTAATTCATATTTATGACAGTTGCAGTGTCCGGGGATCATGTGATCACCGTTTTTGACCTTCTGACCAGCAAAATCAATGGGAAAGCCAGATTCATTAACAACCACATTACTAATTTAGCAATTGCAGTGATTCACTTAACAATTGGGGCAAGAAAGGACGTTAAATAAGTCAAAACCTACTTAACCTACTTCTGTCTTGCTTAGCAACAGAAATTTTGAGCTCAGTTGTGATTGTAACTCAAGGATTATCTGTATCTTAAAAGTTATTTGGCTGGGTAGGTTGATATACATTGGACATGCCACACAGGTAAATTGCTTAATATTTGCAACCTCAATCAAATACAGGGTCCAGATCTCGATCATGTAATATGTTAAACAAAGTAGAACCACAGCTTGTTCAGCCAGATTCTTTTTTAAGAATACAAGGAAAGTCATACACCTATTATTACAACTATTACACTGTCTTGTGTTTATAAATGTCTGATATAACTCTAGCTATAGTGAACCTATGGAATGACCTTAAAGGACAGAAAGATGAACCACTATCAAGGCAACAATTACATTAAGAGGGGCTTTACCTGGGCCAAAAAAATAGTTTCAATAAACATCTCGAACAGGCCCCACCCTAGTGCCCAGAAATATAAAATAAGAGAGGGAATGCATCTTCCTTAGACTTCCAACATTCTGTTACTCTAGCTGTTACAATAAAAGCAATCCTAACCTCTACATTCTATGATTGTAATGAAAATACTTCCCTTGAAATGAAACTTACAAAAAATACAATTAATGATCTATAGATATTATCAACTTAATTGTAAGATTAGATTTTGTAAGAAGTTATTAAGACTGAGACAACACCCAAGGTCTTCTCTTGAATTCTAATTTACGTAAACAAAAACAATTTTGAAATAATGAAATAATTTTGAAAGGTTTCAAAATAAAGTTTACAGCATCAAACTTACCCCAAACTAATTTGTTAAGAGTTCACACAAATGTTGTAAGAGGTCTTGTAAGCCACAAACATTTTGTGAAATATGAAGTCTATGTCACTGAACTTCAGTTGCTACAATCTATTTACTATTCCTGGCAAATAAGATTGCTAGGAGGCCATTATTAAGACTTGAAGGATTTGTAATTCTGCATTCCTTAATGTGCATGTTAAATGAGTAGTGCAATATTTAGCCCTTTTTTTACTACTATCTGGACAATTTTATACCAAAAAATTATTGTAAAATTAATAAAGAGCAACTTGACTCAAATTAATACCTTATTAAAAAATTCTATAATTATATACAACCTGGTTTTCAAGACTTTGTTGTTAACCAACATTGGTTTCTTCACTAGATCACAGCTATTGGCAGCCTTTTCTGGCTCAATTCACAAAGAGTCCCAACACTCAAAATATTTATTATTTAAATATTTACTCAGATGTATATACTGTGCCAGTCACATGCATATATATCCATTAAACTGCACTTTTCATTCACATGTTTGGGTCCTTTGATCAGATATTGGAATCTGAATTTTACTTTACTCATATTGATATGATAGCTGAGTGATAAACCTTTTTTCACATCTGATAAAAAATAAATCTGAACACTATTAATTCCTTACCTCTACGACTATTGCAGGATTTTAATTAAAGAACCAAATTCCAAAATTAGTTAAGGAAAGCATGAAGAGTATAATTTCTGGAGTTCTTTCTAATCTAATTTGTCAACACCTGCCATAGGAACCATCTCTATTTTCTTATGTGTAACAAAGCAATGCCTGGCACCTCATCTATGCCTCTCTATTCCACTTGCATCTGTGTGCTTTTGTGCACGTATGCGCACTAAGAAGCATGAGTGGGGTGTGTGTGTGGATATGCTCTGTGATCAGCAGCCGGATAAGGGTTTAGAATGGAGCGGGAGCTACCATTCTGAGTCACTTCCATCACTGCCCATCCTATAAAGATTCTCTCTTTTTTTTTCTATACTTCTATTTTTTTTCACCTCAGTCTAAACTTTGCCCATTTTCAAAGTCTTTTTTTTTTTTCATTGATTTCTTCCGACACACCGCATTTGGACCTGTTCTATTTTCCGAAAGTTGTTCCTATTGACAGATAGATTGGCAGAGTTTTACAATCCTTTACATGATTTTTCTCCATCCTTTCGCTGGGTTAGTAGGAATAAAAAAAAAAAGAGCTGCAGGTTGGCAGACAAGCACATGATCTGTAGGGCTGGATTTTAGTTGTATCTGTAAGGAGTCAGCAAAAGGTCAGGAATGTGCTGTTGCAGAGGTACCAGAATGCTGCAATTAGAACAGACAGCCCTGAGCCTACAGGGTTCAATGTAATAAAGCATTATAAAAATCAGAAAAAAATACCAGCTGTATATTTATTACTGATGGGAAAGGTCACAGCTTTTGCAGATGTCAGTTTTCTCCCTATTTTTTAAAAAAGTTGAAGTACCTGAAAAAAAAAGAAGTATCTAAAAAATAAATAAAAGAAGATGAAGGGAGTTGGTTTAGAACTTGGTGCAACAAGGTCATTGGCGACCACAACTATCATGTTGTCTACCCTGCAATATGGAAAATATCATTCTTAATTACTGCAGTAATCTGATAGTTAATGTCAGAACATTGTTTTTCAGTTCATTCTTTTCTTTCAACAATAGACAGATTGCTGTCCATACTTACCGAGGTACAAAAGATGCAGTTGCAGTCCTGAAGAGCGGTCATCTTATCCAGTGAATATTCAGATAAGCACAGCTTACAAGTCACCAAAGACTCCAAGGGCAATTCCCCAACTTCTGCTACTCCGGTTGTCATGGTGCTGAAGCAGATTTCAGTAGCAGAGGACATCAATTTAAATACACCCGGCAATACTACAAGATATAAATCAGAATGTGCCAATGAGAATTATTTTGCAAGTTAAAATTTAACATCATGGAATTTTAAGCAATGCATAAGCGACGTCTTCCACAGCTCTGTCTTTTAACCTGTTCTTTTATTCATCAATATAGACTGTCAAATGATATGATAGGGCTAACCCACTTATATTAGTGCAAGATAACACAAATACATTTCCTCCTCATTCTACAGCAGCCTTCATCAATTCAGGTGAAGAAAACACATTCAGATAAATCAATAATATAAATTTACCATAAATGATAGAAATAAGCGAGTAAATAAATAAGGAAGGAATAATTTAAAGAGGTTAATGTATGAGAAATAACCAGAAATATGAAACATGTATTGGAACAATATCTAGTATATAAGCACTGTCAAAATGATTTGTAATGTTTATAGTGTTTTTCATTTTAATGAGTTGTATTGTATTTTGTATTTATTCTTTTTTATTAATGTTTTAATGTTTAATAAAGGTTTTTCACACACACACACACACACACACACATAACCAGAAATAAATATTTTCTATCAGAAATGTTCATAACATGCCACAGAAGCTATGGCATTGCCCACAACTGGACAAAATGAGCCATTTCCTCAGACTCTAAGCTCAAAACAATCCCTGATGATTCCATAAGAAATTGTCCTACTCATCACCGTAGACCAGGCTTGCCAATATGTAGCTTTCCAAGCAGGCCTGTACAGCCCACAGACGTTTTTGAAAAGTTAATAAATTCACCATTGCTGCCCCAAAAGATGCACTGTCAAGAACCTACAGAGCTTCCAGGCCACAGTGCCACCACCAGCTCCAGCATTGCTGCCTTCCATCAGCTGCCCAATATACTAGGTATCCCTTTGTGGCCTGCAATGACTTTTAATTTATCAATGTGACACTTCCCTGTGTACGAATTCTGCAGATCCGCTATGGACTCTGTCCAGTTGGCATCCATCCCAGACCATAAACCCCTAAGGAACCACATCTTCAACCTGTAGATCTATTGAAGTACTTCCCGGAAAGATTCAGATTATTCAGTCTGGTAAACAGTTCGCCTTTAAGTTTGGGTGACCTATGTAATATGGCCAGAGCACTTGATAAAATAGCACAATTTCTCTCCAGTCGCTAATCAGAAACAAATGTTTTGTTTACTGAGGAATTTGAGGGAAATGAAGTGCCTGAAGAGATGTTGGCATAAAACTCAAAGAGGACACCACCAAGTACTGTTAAGAGTTCAAGTCTCAGCCTACACACTGGTGATAAGAGTGAAAAAGTGTCAATTTTTCTCCATGGCGATTGTATTCTGCAGACTTCTGAGTAGAAGCCCTGTTTCATGTGCGGACTACTACAATACACTGTACATAGGACTGGTCTTGAAGACCATTTGGAAGTAAAGCTGGTCAAAATGCAGGAGCAAAAGCAGTTGTGCCTGCATCTTGGTGCACTCTTGTAACACTCTGTTACACAAACTGCATTGGTTACCAATATATTATATATCTATACTAATAAGTCCTGGAAATAAACTATATACCTCTTCATAGCAAAGACCCTGGCATTCCGTGGGTCAATTTTTCTTCTGACATTTCTGCCAGCCCTGTAAAATCTGACAGAGCAGGTGTCTTTATGTCCTGAAAATTAAGTGTTAGTTGAGGTAAACAGTTTATTCTATCATGGCTCCTGTCCTTTAAAATGGCTCCTCCCCAGAATTCAGAGTGCATAAAACCTGCCAGCCTTCAGAAGGTCTTTGAAAACCTTTTTTTCCACAAACAGTGGAGCAGGTCACAATATGTCAATTTGTTACATATTATTTGTTTTGTGATATGTGTTTCCTGATATGTGAGTTTACTTTGGGTTCATTTTGTCTGTTTTTTTAGCATAAAAACACCTCGAGTTTTTAATTTCCACTCCCCCTATTCAGTTTCAAGTTGGGGCAGCCTTATAAATCCAAATTACAAAGAAGCATAAATACATAAATACTGTATAATACACAGCAAATATTTTGGCAATCCCAGTTGGGAGTTTTGGTGGGCTTCAAATCCAAATGGTTTGCCAAGTACCAGAATGAAAAAGCCTAGTTTACTGAAGTGCTAGTATCTTGGCATGAAATCTATTAATGCTGCTGCTTTACCGTATACACTGTACACGGTGAGTTTACAGAAGCATATATTTTATGAGAAGGGGCCTAAAGACCTCATAAACATTTGCAAACCTAATCAAATTAAATAATTCATAGGTCTGTCTTGCCAGAAAACTTGTCTACTGCAATAGCAAACCAACTTTGAAGTTCCTCAAGGTTTTTCAAGCCTGCTAGTTACAGACAAGAGTCTAGGAAAGTACCCTGACAGAAAAATGCTGCTATAAAGCAGAAACATGTAAATGTTTTCTGCTTACAGGCACTTTGATTAAATGTGTTTTATCCAATAGCTTATCTGCTTTGTTTTCACCCATTATATTTTTCCTTCGTGAATACTGGAAGCCAGAACATACATTGCTTTTAAACTTTCTGCAAAGTAGGAACTTGGCACATCACATTTATCCAAGTATGATATTCATGCACATAGGCCTTTTCATATTAACAAAATGCAATCTGTGCAACAGGTCTCTCACTATTCATCAAAGCACCAAAGAACAATAATTGATGTTTGTGTTGCATCAATCAGCCACTTAAACTTTGTATATGCATATATTACCAGATACTAATCTTTTTGCACAAAAAAACTAACAATTGTGCTCGCTTTCAAATGAAATTGAAATGAAGGCTCATTGGAAACTCTTTCTATAAAAATAATTGTCTTCCTCTAACTGAGTACAATAACAACTCTTTTACACGATAAACTATCCCTTTCAAACATTACCAGAAATTTTGGCAACATCTTTTAGCAAACTCACAATCCACAAACCACTGTTCTATAACTGCTGCAGCCATTCTTATTAGTGAAGCATCAACAGTACACCACACATCAAAGGTTTTGTTTATTTGGGTTGATAATTTATTTTCCATTTGATCCATTCATCCATCCATATTCTTCCTGTCTTCTTTGGCCTTTCTTCCTGGCCCTGTAAAGTCATGTGCATATTTGCTAATGTTTTATTAATATACACATAAAAGTAACATTTCCCTTAAGCCAGCCATGACTCCTGATGACATCAAGAGCAAGACTTGATGCCACCTTTTTCTTTTTTTGGCAACCATACAGGCTGATGAGTAAAAGGAGAACAGAATGATCTGGATGAAATTATTGAACCAGCCATCCCAGTTCACTCTTCATTACATGATGTTCGTTCTTCCTAACTTAAAATAAGCAGCGAGTTAGAATCAGAACATTGTGAAATTCTATTTCCAGGAATATTGTGGTACAGGGACCATATGACATAAGACACAATTATGTCCTGGGAATTCTTAATCAGTATAAAGATACCTTCAAAGAGAACGTGGCGTCAGCTTCCAGTGAAATAAGCAGGAGATTCATCATGGCTTCATTTTGTAGGCTCTCAGCACTTATCTAGCATCAGCATTTCTGTCCATTCTGCTTAGCAGAAAGCTATTATTTTATCCTGTTGATCTCTGGCGTCGTTGAACGTCTTAAGATATCTCGTGCGCATCAATGTATAAATGACTCTTTGTTTTGCCTTGTCTAAATAAATGCTGTTCCATCAGCAGAATGACACGACTTGATGCAGTCGTATATAATATACAACCAGGATTAACTAGTTGGCTGTCACTAAGTTTTTTTTATTATCTAATCAAGGCATTTATGATTGAAAATAGTAGATTTTTTTATCAGAAAATAGAACTAAATTAGAATTGTCCATTGACATTCTTTATTTATAACATTATAGTACATTCTTTCTCCACATGCACATAAAATTATCTTTTATGATTTTCTCCCAGGGATTGGCCAGGATCAAACCTGCTTAACTTTACAGCTAAAGTATATAAAAATATTCAGCACACTGCCTGAGTGAAACTCTAAGTAGTACAACGCTTAATGTTAAAACAGTAGCCTACTTTTTGAAAAAATCAACGTTTGACTAAGAACTTACACTTTGAAACATGTTAGTCTAAAAATCTAAGTCCTTAATAGGAGCTAAAGCAATTTTAACCTTTGAAACCTGTTAGTCTAAAAATCTGAGTCCTTAATGTATGATAAAGCAAACTTCTTTTTTTATTTGTTTCAGGAAGTTTTATCTTCAACATTGCAAGACAGTGTTTTTCTTTCTAATCTTTCAAGAGCATTATGTGTATAGATTGTAACAAAGTTTATTTAAAAAATAATTTCCCCACAGAATATTGGGAAAGACTAGAAGAGATAAGCAAATGCTAATGCTTCATCCATTTTAAAGGTGCAGAATATTTTATGTTGCTTGGAAGCAATAAAACACAACTAACAGGAAAGAGGGGGGAAATTGAGTGGCCGTATGATGCAGGTATTCAAAATATGTTTACCATCAAGACCTTTGTTATGCATAAAATGTGTTACTTTCCAAAGGCCAACAATGTATTAAAACAGCTTTTCTCTACTTGGGGGTCCCCCAGAAGTGTTGGCTCACTGTCTCAAGAAATGAAGCAGATTAAAATGCCAAACATTTTAGGGCATCGTGTAAGAGAATGCTGTTGTTGCATTTCTACATTGAATGACATTTCAAAGCTGAGCAATTAGAATATAAAACAATGTTAAGAGCTGATACAGTTCTTTCATTATTCCCTGGCTTCTTTATTGGGCACTAGCTACATTCATGTTGTGGTTTGCCGGCAGCAAGTGTGGACGGCTGAGGTCTCAGAGAGCAAGGACTCGGATGAGGGGCCTGCATGTGATGAAGGGATGGGGCCAGGACCATGAGGGAGTGGAATACTGCCTTCGGAGATTGTGGAAGCTGGCAGCAGTGATGAAGAGGTCCTCGAGGAGCCTGTGCACAGTGCACTTGTATGAAGGGCTGCTCAAAGGAAAAAGCAGCTCAGCATCACGGGCGACTTGGGAGTA